GCAGGAAGGTGGGTGGGAGGAGGTGTATTCTAAGTAGCTGTGGGAGTCAGTGGGCTTGAAATGGATATCGGTTTCTAGGTGGTTGCCCGAGATGGAGACAGAGAGGTCCAGGAAGGAGAGAGAGGTATTAGCGATGGTCCAGGTGAACTTAAGGTTGGGGTGGAAGGTGTTGGTGAAGTGGATGAACTGTTCGAGCTCCTCGTGGGAGCACGTGGTGGCGCCGATACAGTCATCAATGTTACGGAGGAAGAGGTGGAGTTTAGGGCCGGTGTAGGTACGGAGAGGGATTGTTCCACGTAACCTACAAAGAGGCAGGCATAGCTTGGGCCCATGCAGGTACCCATGGCCATCCCCTTTGTCTGTCGGAAGTGGGAGGAATTGAAAGAGAAGTTGTTGAGGGTGAGGACGAGTTCGGCTAAACGGATGAGGGTGTCAGTGGAGGGGGATTGGTCGGGCCTGCGGGACAGGGAGAAGCGGAGGGCCTTTAGGCCATCTGTATAGGGAATGCAGGTGTATAGGGATTGGACGTCCATGGTAAAGATGAGGTGTTGGGGACCGGGGAATTGGAAGTTCTGGAGGAGGTGGAGGGCGTGGGTGGTGTCACGGACGTAGGTAGGGAGTTCCTGGACCAAGGGGGAGAAAACAGAGTCCAGATAGTTGGAGATAAGTTCGGTGGGGCAGGAGCAGGCGGAGACAATGGGTCGACCAGGGCATTCAGGTTTGTGGATTTTGGGAAGGAGATAGAAGCGAGCAGTGCGAGGTTGGGGAACGATGAGGTTGGAAGCTGTGGGTGGGAGGTCACCTGAAGTGATGAGGTTGTGGATGGTTTGGGAGATGATGGTTTGGTGCTCAGGGGTGGGGTCATGATCAAGGGGGCGGTAGGAGGTGGTGTCGGAGAGCTGGTGCCTGGCCTCGGCGATGTAGAGGTCAGTGCGCCATACTACAACTGCGCCTCCCTTGTCCGCCGGTTTTATGGTGAGGTTGGGATTGGAGCGGAGGGAGCAGAGGGCTGCACGTTCTGCGGGGGAGAGGTTGGAGTGGGTGAGAGGGGTGGAGAGGTTGAGGCGATTGATGTCTCGATGGCAGTTGGAGATGAAGAGATTGAGGGAGGGTTAGGGTTAGGGTTAGGGTTAGGGTTAGGGTTAGGGTCCAGGAGGAGGGGTTGTATTGGAGGTGGGAGAAGGGGTCAGTAGAGGGAGGGTTAGGTTCACGGTTAAAGAAGTAAGCGTGGAGGCGGAGGCGGCGGAAAAACTGCTCTATGTCTTTCTGTTAACGTTGCCCAATCCAAGTGCAAATTTAATTTTCTTAGGTCTCACAATGTAGTTACAGGCTGTGGCAGCTGGATGGCCTCGAGGAGCCAGATTTCAGTGATTCCAACCAGAATTACCTGCAGCAACAAGTGAAAATGGCTGCTGTAGTTGGTCACTAACAGCTTTCAGTAGCAGCTCCTGCCTAGCCCTCACTCACTAAGAACACTACCGGACCATCGCCTCTTGCTCAGCATCAAATTAAAGGTGGTGCCGTAAACTGGCCAATAGCACAAAGTGTTGCAATATCGGAAACAGTGCCAGCACAACACAGCTAGGCACCGTAGTCTTCAATAATTCAGAAACAGTTAGGGCCAAGATAAATTTCCAACCTCGTTTAGCAAAGGGATGGGAAGTGGGCATCATTAGCTATGCCACCGTTTATTGCCCAGAGGGCAGTTATGAATCACCATACTGCCGTGGATCTGGAGTTATGTAGGCCAGACTTTCAGTGATGCTGCTTGGCCTGCTGTGTTCATCCAGCCCTGCACCTTGTTGTCTCGGATTCTCCAGCATCTGCAGTTCCTACTATCTCTTTCAGTGTACCCGATGGTTTTACAACATTTGCCAGTCATTAGATAGTCACCATTAGACTAGGTTTTAATTTCATTTGTTTTTTTGGTTGACTTCAAACTCATGTCCCCATAACATTAGACAAATGTCCAGACAAATGTGAGGTGATGCATTTTGGAGGATCAAATTTAGCTCTGAATTATACTGTTGATGGCAGAACCCTTAGGAACATTAATATACAGACTGATCTGGGCTTGCGGGTCCACAGTTCCCTACAAGTGGCAACATAGGTGGCCAATGTGACATATGGCATGCTTGCCTTCATCAGCCGGGGCATGGAGCCCAACAGTTGGCAAAACATGTTGCAGCTGTATCAAACCCTTGTTAGGCTGCATTTGGAGTATTGTGTGCAGTTTTGGTCACCACATTTCCAGAAGGATGTGGAAGCTTTGGAGAGAGTACAGAGAAGGTTCACCACGATGTTGCCCAGTCTGGAGGGCATTGGCTATGAGGGAAGGCTAAAAAGGCTAGGATTGTTTTCACTGGAAAGATGGCGGCTGAGAGGAGACCTGATAGAGGCCTACAAAATTATGAGAGACGTAGATAGGATGGATAGTCAGAGGCTTTTTCCCCAGAGTTGAAGTTCCAATTACAAGGGGGCACAGGTTCAAGGTGAGAGGGGGAAAGTTTAAGGGAAATGTGCAGGGGAACATTTTCATGCAGAGTGGTAGGAGCAGTTTCGGGCGGCACGGTAGCACAGTGGTTAGCACTGCTGCCTCACAGCACCAGGGACCCAAGTTCGATTCCAGCCTCGGGGGACTGTCTGTATGGAGTTTGCGCATTCTCCCCGTGTCTGCATGGGTTTCCTCCGGTTTCCTCCCACAGTCCAAAGATATGCAGGTTAGGTGGATTGCCCATAGTGTTCTGGGATGTGTAGATTAGGTGGGTTATAGGGGTACGGGTCTGGGTGGGATGCTCCTAGGGTCAGTGTGGACTTGTTGGGCCGAAGGGCCTGTTTCCACACTGTAGGAATTCTCTGATTCTATGAGCTTGGAAATGTACTGCCAGAGGAGGTGGTGGAAGCAGACACATTGGTGACATTTCAGAGGCATCTGGAGTGGTTACACGAATAGGGACAGAATTGGGGATATGGACCGAATAAGGGCAGAAGGTTTGTTTTTTAGTTTAGTCAGTGCATAATGATCGGCACAGGCTTGGAGGGCCAAAGGGCCTGTTCCTGTGCCGTACTTCTCTTTTGTTCTTAGAAAGAGGTTCTGTTCTGACATGAAATTGGGAGGCAGAAATTAACGATTGAGTCTGGAACGCAGGAGAAACAAAAGCTACAAAATAAGCAGAAGAGTCTGGCAGTGGTCAGGGTATATACTTCAACACAAGGAGTTGACAAAGCAGACAAGCTGAAGGCACAAGCAGAAACACAGCAGTGTGATGTCATCCCTAACACAGAAGCAGGACTTAAAGAGGGACAGCAAAAGCAGCTACATTCCTAGTTACAGGGTTTTCAGATGAAATAGAGAGGGAGGGTAGCAGATTACAATTTTGATTTCCTTTGATCCTAATCCCATTACACTGCTGATCATCCAACCCCTCATTGCGAAGGCAATGTTAGCATTCATTTCGAGAAGGCTAGAATACAAGAGCAGGGATGTATTGCTGAGGCTGCATAAGGGTCTGGTCAGACTGCTTTTGGAATATTGTGAGCAGTTTTGGGTCCCATATCTATAGAACAGTGTGCTGGCGTTGGAGGGGGTCCAGAGGAGGTTTACAAGAGTTATCCTGGAAGGGCTTGTCATATTAGCAGCAGTTCAGCGCTCTGGGTGTGTACTCGATGGAGTTTAGAAGGATGAGGGGCTATCTGATTGAAACTTACAGAATACTGAGAGCCTGGAGAAGATATTTCCAGTAGTAGGAGAGACTAGGACCCAAGGGCACAGCCTCAGAGTGAAGGGACAACCCTTTGGAACTGAGATGAGAAGGAATTTCTTCAGCCAGACAGTGGTTAATCTGTTGAATTCATTGCTGCAGGAGTCGTGGAGGCCAAGTCATTGAGTGTATTTAAGGCAGAGATAGATAGGTTTTTGATTCAAAGGTTAAGGAGAGAAGCCAGGGAAATGGGTTTGAGAAGTTAATCAGACATGAACGAATGGCAGAGAAGACTCGATGGGCAGAATGGCCTAATTCTGGTCCTACATCTTATGGTCTCTCCTCCTAGCCCCAAGTTGACTGATGTTATAGATTAAAAAATTGAAAGAACTGTGGATGCTGGAAATCAGAAACAAAAACAGAAATCAGAGTATCCCTACAGTGTGGAAGCAGGCCATTTGGTCCACCAAGTCCACAACAACCCTCCAAAGAGCATCCCATCCAGATCCACCCCGCTACCCTAGCCTGCACATTCCTGGACACTATGGGCAATATAGCATAGCCAATCCACCTAACCTGCACATTTTTGGACTGTGGGAGGAAATCCATGCAACACGGGGAGAACGTGCAAACTCCACGCAGTCACCCGAGGGTGGAATTGAACCAGGGTCCCTGGTGCTGTGAGACACCCATGCTAACCACTGCGCCAGCATGCCACTCCACAGATGGAGGGAAGATCATTGATGAAGCAGCTGAAGATGGTTGGGCCTAGGACACTACCATGAGGAACTCCTGCAGAGATGTCCTGTAGCTGAGATGACTGAACTCCAACTAGTCCACACCGACCATGTTCCCAAACTAAATGAGTCCCACCTGCCTGCGTTTGGCCCATAACCCTCCAAACCTTTCCCATTCATGTACTTATCCAAACGTCTTTTAAACGTTATAACTGTATCTGCATCCACCACTTCCTCTGGCAGTTCATTCCACACACAAACCACTATGTGTAAAATATTGCCCATCATGTTCTTTTTAAATCTTCCTCCTTCCACCTTAAAAATATGCCCCCTAGTTTTGAACTCCCCCACCCTGGGGAAAAGACCCTTGCTATTCAACTTATCTATGCCCCTCGTGATTTTATAGACTTCTATAAGGTCGCTCCTCAAACTCCTACACTCCAGTGAAAAATGTCCCAGCCTATCCAGCCTATTTTTATAGCTCAAACCCTCCATTCTGAGCAACATCCTGGTAAACCTTTGCTGAACCCTCTCCAATTTAGTAATATCCTTCCTATAACAGGACAACCAGAACTGAGTAAGATAGTAGCACAGTAGGATGCTCCAGTCGGAACTCCTCTGTTCACCAGTCCCTTTAGCTCTTTTCTATCTTTTTTTTCTCTCCTCTTTGTGGTTTTCAATTTCCCGTGGTGGAACGAGCATGGGCTGAGTCCCACAGCAGAACGAGCACAGGTGGAATCGAGCGGACACGAGCTGGTCCCACGACGGAACCAGCACAGGCAGTGTGACCTTGTGCTCTGAGCCTACAGGCATGCTCCGTGAGCCCCAGAACACCGCGAGCAGTGAGCACTGGAGCAGCAAGCACTGGAGCAGCAAGCAGGCAGCAAGTCCTGGATGGAGACCAGTGTGAGGGGCCAATCTTGCCAGTTACCTAAGAGCAGCTGAGTGCCGGTATGGAGCGGAATGGGGCTTAGAGCGGAATGGGGCTTAGAGCGGAATGGACTGTTGGACTGAAATCTGGTGCAGGTGGTCAGACCATGTGTGGAGGCCCTGCGCTGAGCTGCTACACTGTAATGTCTTTTTAAATTTCCTACATTACTGTAATGTTAACCCTTTAATATTTTCCTATTTTTAAACTTACTTGTCAACTCTAAGTAATGCAACTGCTTTTATTCCTCTGCTGTACCCTAGTATTTGTACCCTAGTAGTCGCCATAAGAAGGCAGACATTGTAACAGCTTTTCACCGTACTCCTACAATGGAGTACACGTGACAATAAAGGATATCGTATTGTAACTGAGCACTGTACTCCAGAAGAGGCTTCACCAACGTCCTGTACAACCTCAACATGACTTCTAAACTCCTTTACTCAAAAGGTCTGAGCAACAAAGGCAAGTGCGCTAAATGCCTTTACCACCCTGTTTACCTGTGATGCAAATTACAAAGAATTATGTACCTGAACCCCTAGGTCTCACTGTTCTACAACACCACCCAGCACCTACCATTAATTGTTTTACCAAAATGCTACATCTCACATTTATCCAAATTAAACTCCATCTGCCATTCCTCAGCCCATTGACCCAATTGATCAAGATCTCTTTGTAATCTTAGATAACCTTCTTCACTATCCTATACACTAAATGAATGAAGAAATTTCTTTTCTCAGTCTTATATAATTGATGCTAATTCTGTGACAGTTTCCCCAACAAGGAGAAATAATCGTGCCAAACCCGTTCAGAATCTAACATGTCTCAATGACATCACCTGCCATTGTTCCAAACGCCAAAGAACACAAGTCCAGTCTCTCAGCCCTTCATCGCTGGTCATTGGATAAGGGGCTATCCAATCTAGTGAGTAATAAACTTAGATACATTACTTTTTGGTCTCTCTGTCCAAGTCATTAACATAGATTGTAAGTAGCAGTTCTTCAAGTACAGTCTGACAACTTGGAAATACCTCTCCATCCCAACTGTCTGCTTCCAGTGCAATAGCAACCCCTCTATCCAAGGCAAAATATCACTCTTCACTCCGGGTGTCCTTATCTTGTATATTAGCCATTGTCACAACTTATCCAATATCTTTTAGAAATCCAAATATATTAAATCATCTGGATCCACTTTATCTACCTCCTAGTTACATTCTTGAAAAATACAAACAATGTTCTGAAACTTGTTTCTGAAACACCATTTTCCTTTCACAAACATTTAAATTTGATCTATTAAACACTGACTTCCCAGCTCCTCGGATGCTGTCTGACCTGCTGTGCTTTTCCAGCTCCACATTTATTGACTCTAGCTTCCAGCATCTGCAGTCCTTACTGTCTCCAAGGTTTAGAGGGGTATGGGCCGAATGCTGGCAAATTGGACCAGTTCAGTTCAGGAAACGTGGTCAGCATGCACAATTTGGGCCAAAGGTTGTCCACCATTTCCACACTTGTATACCTCTATGACCTTATAATCACTTACAATAGTTTCTCTTCCTGACCTGCCTCATTACCCTGGTTCTGAAGAAGAGTCAGTGGACCTGAAACATTAACTCTGATTTGTCTCCACAAATGCCACCAGACCTGCTGAGATTTTCCTGCAATTTCTGTTTTTATCTTGTTACCCCCCCGCTAGTATCTATCCTTGCTTGCCCCCCTGTAATTCTCATCTCCATTACATTATATTTCTAAATTAGTTTTAATTCTTGGCCATCACTGAGAAGGCAGGAATCTTGTTGCCCAATGCTAGTTGCCCTTGTTGAGTCCTGAAGAAGGGTAATACCCAAAACATTGATTGCTCCTTTACTCCAGATGCTGCCTGGCTTGCTGTGTTCTTCCAGCCTCCTGTTTGTCTACCTTGGATTCCAGCATCTGCAGTATTTTTTTTGTCTTTAACCTAGTTGCCCTTGAACTGATTAGCACTCTAAGCCATTTCTGAAGAGTCACTCACATTGATGAGGGTCTGAAGACACATGTAGGTCAGACCAGGTAAAAGCAGCAGATTTCTATCCCTAAAGGACATTGATGAACCAGACGGGTTTTTACAATAATTGACAAGTGGCTTTCAGACTGACTTTTAATTCCAGATCTTTAGTACATTCAAACTTCACAATTTTCCATGAATGGATTCAAACCCAAGACCTCAGAACATCAGCTGAAGGTTCTGGTTTAATATAGAGTTATAGAACACAGAAACAGACCCTTCGGTCCAACCAGCCCATGCCAAACATAATTCCAAACTAAACTAGTCCCACCTACCTGGTCCTGGCCCATATCTCTCCAAACCTTTCCTGTTCGTGTATTTATCCAAATGTCTGTTAAACGTTGTAATTGTACCCACATCCACCAATTCCTCAAGGCGTTCATTCCACATGCCAACCACCCTCTGTGTAAAAAATTTTCCTTATGTCTTTTTTCAAATCTCTCTCCTCTCATCTTAAAACTGTGCCCCCTGGTCTTGAAATTCCCCATTTTAGGGAAAAGACAATGACTATCAACTCTTTGTATATCTCTCATTATTTTATAACCTTCTATTAGGTCACCTCTCAACCTCCTACACTCCTGTGAAAAAAGTCCCAGCCAATCCAGCTTTTCCTTATAACACAAACCTTCCATACCTGGCAACATCCTGGTAAATCTCTTCTGAACACTCTCCAGCTTAATAATATCCCCTTGCCTGGAGCCACAGTGTTAGTTCCACACATATGCTGTCAGCACTTGATTCTACTGTGCCATCAGCTCTCTAAACTCTTCTGCTGTCACTGAATAAGGGAAGTTTCTTCTTGTGGAAAAATCTAGAACAGTTTAACAATCAGGGGTTGCCTGAAATTGAGACAGAATCAAGAACATTATTTCCCACCTATCCCTCAATCTTTGGCACTCTTCCCGAAAAAGGTGGTGGACACAGTTTTTGGACAATTTTTAAGATAGCGGTAGATAAAGGGTGTTGAAAGGTTACTGAGGGCAACCAGGAATGTGGATTTTGTGATTACAATCAGATCGGATTAATCTTATCGAATAGCAGAGTCAGCTGGTGGGACATAGAACTGCAGATTCTGCAGACCCACAACAAACAAAAGCAGAAATTACTGGAGAAACGCAGCAGGTTTTGTGATATCTGAGGAGAAGAAACGGAGCTAATATTTCGAGACAACAAGGTGCAGGGCTGGATGAACACAGCAGGCCAAGCAGCATCATAGGAGCAGAGAGGCTGCGATAGGGTCTAACATTTCGAGTCTGGTGACCCTTCTTCAGAACTCTCAGCAGCTCGGAAAAGTGCTATTTATGTTGATGACATGCTGGGGGGGGGGGGCATGGAGAGGGCAAATAGGTGAAGGAGGTCAGAGAGAAAAAGATGGAGAGGCAAAGGCATTGTTGATGGCAAGGCAGGGAAAGAAAGAAGGGAGATGGGTGAGAATGGAGACTATGGATGGGTGAGAATGGGTTGGCTGTGCTGAAAGCTCCCCATTGTATGGCAGGACCAGGGCTGTGGAGTGCATAAGGGACTTGGAAAGAATGAGGGTGTTCACACTCTGACATGGTTAAACTCCACGTAGAGTCCTGGAGGTTGCCAGGTCCCCAGGCGGAACATGATATCTTGCTCCTCGGGGATTGATGTTTCTGTTGGCTTGTTGTTGCTGGGACATCCACGCCATGATCGTGGAGAGTGGCGGATTAGGCTCGAAGGGCCCAATGGCCCTTCCCCCCCTCCTGCTCCTATCTTCTATGTTTCCAGCCCCTATTTGAGCAGAAACCTCCAAGTGACAAGTCTGCGAAGGGGGGGGGGTTACTGCGCGGCCCGAAGCCTGAGGCCTAGTCCCCGTCACCCCCTCCGGGTAAAGGCTAAGGTCCTTCCTCACCTTCTTGTCCCAGATCTGCAGGGGTTTGCTGCCGATACTGTAGAGGATCGAGAGGAATCCGCTCTGGAACGTGTTCTTGAACATCTCTGAGCGGCGCCGGACCCGGGGCCCTAGCAACGTCCGGGTGCAACCCGCCGCCTCCCGACAAAGGTTCCGGGGGTGTGAGAGGGGAAAGCGGAAAGCTCCGCCCGCGCAGGCGCTGCTAACCCGCCGGCTCCGACCTTTCTCAAGAACCAAGGAGGGGGATGGGGAGGGGAAAGAGGGGAGTATCCCAGGAATCTCTGATCGGAACCGGGGACAGGGGATGGGTCGGGGTTGCGGGCCCGCTCCTTGTATTTGGTGTAGCGGAGCCGACGGCCGCTGCAGCCCCGGTTACTAAGGCCCGTTGCTATGACAACTCCCCTCCTCCCCGCTCGGCCTCTTGTTGTCTATTTGGATCCGCCGTTACTATGGTTTCTGGGCCAACCGCGATTGGTCAGACCGCGGCCTTTTCACACCTATTGGTGCACGGGTCAACTAGAGCACCGAGCTGATTGTACAGACACGGCAACGACTTATTTGCATGCAGGTCGCCTATTGGTTCCTGCTGCGGGAATTACCGGCAACCATTGACCATTCGGTGGGTAGATCCCTGACCCACGTGGGACCCCGAGATGGTGATTGGCTCGTCTACCATGGAGTCCCACCTCCAGCCCCTTGATTTGCATACAACCCGCCAAATCCACCACGTGGAGCTGGTGCAATGTCCAGGGCGTTTGCAGGGGCAGTGGTCACACGTGAATCGGATAATCCTCGGCGGGAATGTCCATTTATTTATACCGTAACATAGAACACTTCTCAGCGATTTAAATAAAAAGAAAGAACTGACACAAACAAAAACAGAAATTGCTGGAACAGCACGGTGGCTCAGTGGTTGTTTCACAGCACCAGAAACCCGGGTTCGATTCCACCCTCGGGTGACTGCGTGTTTCTCGTCCAGGTGCCCTGGATTCCTCCCACAGTACAAAGATGTGCAAATTAGGTGGATTGGCCATGCTAAACTGCCCATAGTGTTCAGGGGTGTGTAGATTGGGTGGGTGTGGTTAATGGGTCTGGGTGGCATACTGAGGGTCGGTGTGGACTTGTTGGGCCAAAGGGCCTGCTTCCACACTATAGGGATTCTATGACTGAACCATAGGGGTCACTTCGTCAAGGTCAGAAATCACACGACATCAGGTTATTGTCCAACAGGATTATTTTTCGGAGTCTTACTCCTTCTTCAGGTGTTTGTGAGAGAGGTAGTATCAGACACAGAATTTATAAGTAAAACATCAAAGAATCCCTCTCTCATACACATGTGAATCTATGGGGTGAATTTGTATTTGCAGATACATTCCATTTTGTTCAAAAAGCACACAATTTATAGACAATGTGGCATTTTATAAATTCCTATTTCAGAAATAAAGCCAGTTTGACTCCAAACCAAAACACAAACAGATTCTAAACAAGGCCTCACACCTAACAACAGTGTGGAGCTGGAGAAACACAGCAGGCCAGGCAGCATCAGAGCAGAAAAGCTAACGTTTCCAGTCAGGACCCTTCTTCAGAAACAGGGGAGGGGCAAGGGAGTGCTGAAATAAATAGAGGAGGGGTGGGGGTGGGGAAGGTAGGTGGGATGGTGATAGGTGAGTGCAGGTAGGCAGTGGTGGGGATTGGTCAGTGCGGTGGGAGGAGTGGATCAGTGGGAGAGAAGACAGACAGGTCAAGGAGGCGGGGATGACAGGGAGGGTTGATCATGGGATGAGGCCAGGGTTGGGAAGATTTTGAAATTAGTGAAGTCCACATTGAGACCATTGGGTTGTAGGCTCCCAAGGCAGAATATGAGGTGCTACTCCTCCAGTTTCCGGGTGGCGTCATTGTGACACTGGAGGAGGACCAGGATGGACATGTCGCCCAGGGAGTGGGAGGGGGAGTTGAAGTGGTTCACGACTGAAAGGTGTTGTTTGTCGCCTCCTCTACATCGGTGAGACCAAGTGGAGGCTCAGAGACTGCTTTGTAGTGCACCTGCGCTCTGTTCGCGACAAACGACAACACCGTCGTCTTATATGAAAAGATAATATATATTTCATATATATTATATATTTCATCAGAATAAATTCAAGAATGCCATATTTCAAAAAATCACAACAACTTATATTACAGGAGAAAACAGTGCTGATGCTGTTGCCATGGAGAAGGTACTGGAACTACAATGAAGAATTTTGGCAGTCTTGTGTTTGTCCTGCTGGTTGCAAGATAAAAATAATCTTCAACAGCTTAGCTCTCTCTTCAGCAATATTCAAGCAAGATATTTAAACACAAGTTGCCTTTAACAATCAGAGACAACAAGGTGCAGAGCTGGATGAACACAGCAGGCCAAGCAGCATCATAGGAGCAGGAAGGCTGACGTTTCAGGCCTAGACCCTTCTTCAGAGGTGGGGGAGGGGAAGGGGGTACTGAAATAAATAGGGAGAGACGGGGAGATGGATAGAGGAGAAGATAGGTGGAGAGGAAACAGACAGGTCGAAGAGGCGGGGATGGAGCCAGTAAAGGTGAGTGTAGGTGGGGAGTTAGGGAGGGGATAGGTCAGTCCAGGGAGGACGGACAGGTCAAGGGGGCGGGATGAGGTTAGTAGGTAGGAGATGGGGGTGTGGCTTGAGGTGGGAGGAGGGGATAGGTGGGAGGAAGAACAGGTTAGGGAGGCGGGGACGAGCTGGGCTGGTTTTGGGATGCAGTAGGGGGAGGGGAGATTTTGAAGCTTGTGAAATCCACATTGATACCATTGGGCTGCAGGGTTCCCAAGCGGAATATGAGTTGCTGTTCCTGCAACCTTCGGGTGACATCATTGTGGCACTGCAAGAGGTCCAGGATGGACATGTCGTCTGAGGAATGGGAGGGGGAGTTGAAATGGTTCGCGATTGGGAGGTGCAGTTGTTTATTGCGAACCGAGCGTAGGTGTTCTGCAAAGCGGTCCCCAAGCCTCCGCTTGGTTTCCCCAATGTAGAGGAGGCCGCAACGGGTACAGCACATGCAGTATACCACATTGGCAGATGTGCAGGTGAACATCTGCTTGATGTGGATAGTCTTCTTGGGTCCTGGGATGGGAGTGAGGGAGGAGGTGTGGGGACAGGTGTAGCACTTCCTGCGGTTGCAGGGAAAAGTGCCGGGTGTGGTGGGGCTGGAGGGGAGTGTGAAGCGGACAAGGGAGTCACGGAGAGAGTGGTCCCTCCGGAAAGCAGATAAGG